ACAGAGTGCTGCTTCTCATGTATGGCATTTTTGGAAGTGATTTATGACCAGTGCAGCCTGGGTGTTAAAGGAGCCCTTTTCATCCAGCTCCAGGATCCCTTGTATCCACACAGGTGAGATAGGTGCGATCCTGGTGGTTGTGCCCACACTGTGACACTGATGCTGGGATCACAGCTCTCGTGACACTGCCTCCTTCCACACCGGCTGCAGGACACTGAGAGGAGTGGGAAGTTAAAACATAGTGCCTGAAAAGCTGGTCTAGATTTTGCATTCAAGGCTACTCTGACAGGGCTGTACTTTGTCTTCTTGAGCCTAGGACATGCAGTTTGTCCTCTGTAAATTCTGACTAGCATGGCCTTATTTTTAAAAGGACTATCAGTGGGAAATCAGGGTGATGAGTCCCAGGCAGTTTGCCAGTGTATGCCTGGAGCCTTGTGCACTGCCTCATACCTGAAGGTCGGATTTGTCTGGACTTTCCTTGCAGTGTGTGACTGCGTGCATGGGGAATGCAACAGTGGCGTCACTGGGAATGGAAGCTGCACGTGCTATGGAGGCTACACTGGCCCCAGGTGTGACCAAGGTAAATACATTGGTAGCTGCAGAGGGGCTGTTAGAGCTGAACTAGCATATGGGCTTGGATGCATGTGTCCCAGAAGGAGATGGAGGGCAATGAATAACTTGGGAATGTAGGGGGAAGATGATCTGCGCACTGGAGATCTAAACAGAAGAACCAGCTGGGTTTCTGCTCCCCACTCCGTGACAGTGGCCGAGATGTACAATCTCATTGTGCCTTTATTCTTTCTTTGGAAGCCAGATAGATCCTTTCTCCTCTCTAAGCCTTTGGGACCTGACTGCCTAGGCCAGTGATTTAGAGCTGTCTGCACCACTTATATCCCACGGCTTTTGTGCCAGCTCAGCAGCCTCTGGAAACCACGTTTGCCTTCATTTCCAGAGATTTTGTAAGGTAAGTTGTATCTTCCAGCAGTGCCCTGCTTGCTCAAAGGAAAAGTCTCTTTGCTGTGTGATTCCAGAGCTTCCCCTTTGCAAAGGCGTGACATGTGAGGCCAACAGCGAATGTGTGGTAAGGGACGGGACAGCGATGTGTGACTGCAAGCTGGGCTACAGAAAAACTGGGAGCACTTGCCAAGGTGAGCAACTTCCCTGTGACCCTAAATGGTCCCCTTGATTGGAAAAATTTTATTGCAGTGATAAGTCTGGATGAATTTGTTCGCTATGAATACAATACCTACTTCACTGCAGAAGCGTAAGAACCTGGTTTTTAGGAATTCCTTTAAGATTAAGGGCTAAGTTTTTGTCTCTCCTGTCCCTTGATCCTGAAAGCAAGAAATGAATTAGTCACAGGTTCCATCCAGCGCTCCCTTATAAGTACGTACTGAATAGCTGTGACAATGGGAGATTGGTGAATCTGTACCAGTTTAAATAATGAGGCATGTAATTGCAGGATTTTTTCACTGATTTGAAATTTAAGTTTGTGAACAGGTTTTTTTAAAAGAAAGTAAGATGCATGTGATTAGCTAGCTATGGATAGCTCTATTTTTACTGATTTTTGCAGTTCTTGCTGACCAAACTGCAGCTTCATATATCCTCAGATATGTTGGAAATTCAGAAGTGAATCCAAGCATCCTCTGTCACTCACACTTCTGTTACTGAAGTAACATGAAGAATGTGTCATCCCAATTCCTCAGATTAAAAACCCCAAAACATCTGCTGTCTGAAATTAGTTTATTTTCCTGGGAAAGAAGTTTAGTAGTATAAATTCCTCATACTCCATTGTTTCCAGACCTTCTGCATTCTGCTGTGCTGCAGTAAGTGCTGTTTTGAAAACAGAAATCGGTTACTCTCACCTCTCATCTCTTTAATTGCAGCTGAGGATTCTTGTGCTGCTTCTCCATGCTCCCCCTTCGCTGTATGTAAGGTTCTTGGACCACGAAAGTATCAGTGTACCTGCAAAGAAGGATTTCAAGGAGATGGGAAGATTTGCCAGCCCATAAACCCTTGTGTTGACAACAATGGAGGCTGCCCAGAAAACTCAACGATTTGTGTTTACAGACTTCCAGGAGAGGTAGGGACAATAACAGCACATCAGCAACTTTGTAAGGGTCTGCAAAATGGCCAGGTGAGAAGTTCTTCAAATGAGATCACCATCGTGTTGGTCAGATTTGCTCTCCTCACTTTAGATTTTTCGAAGGGAAACCAGAGAGCTCTTTGGTAGGGTGACTTATTGGGTAAGAGATGATGAATGCAACTCTGTAATCACTGTGTTGCCTTCCCTTAGGCGACTTGTGTTTGCAAGCCTGGGATGAGCAGGAGATCTCCTTTGTCTGAGTGTTCTGTATTTGCCAATGATTGCCGGCACTATTTTTGCGACGTGACTTCCACATGTGAAATTAATTCCCAGGGGAATCCTAGGTAAGCTAGTTTAAAGATTACTATTAAGTAAGTTTATCCTGCAGCTAGAATGGAAACTGAGTTTGAATGAGCTGAATTTTAAAGAAACTGAGAGCTACCTGAGGAGAATGGTCCTGAGTCGCCTTTTGAGAAGTGCCTGTTTGTAACAAGCCCATTGAAAGTAGAGTTTCACACCAGTCATTGTCAATTTTGGAATGTGGGTCACAAGATGCTTTAAATCTGGGGTGCCTTCTGTGGGTCTTGTGTGATGTGAACTGGAGATGTAGCTCCCCAAGTTGGTCATAGCAGTAGGATGTTACCAGCTAATAATCAATCATTAAAAGGGGGACGTGTGACTTTTGTTTGCTCACATTTGTCTGCATTTGATTCTGAGGGCTGTCTTTGGCTCTCTTCCCACTCGATCCTGTAAGCAAGAAATGTTGAATGTGTCTTTTGGAAGGGGGAAGAGGGCAGTTGAGGGAAGAAACACCAGACCTCATTTAGTCTTCTGGAGCAAAACACCTAGAAGTTGATAGCCCTTCGATGGGGAACGTTGCCAGATCTAGGATCATTTTGCATAACGGCCTCCCAAACACCAGAGAAAGTTTCACGGAGGATTTTGTGTGTTGCCAAGAAAAGGTGGAGCTTCTCTGAGTGACTGAAGAGGGGAAGAGCAGTCCTATCTCCTTGACCCTTCCTTCTCCAGTGCTGCTAAAGCTGCTAGCGTCCACCTGCTCATTGTGTGCTCCAGGCCAGAACTGAAACACAGTGGCTTCCCTTTCTGAAGATAGGCTAGCAAGGTGCAGGACGCGGTGTTCAGCACAGTCCCTGCCTTAGTATCTCTCTTCCCCAGCAGCTGGCACTCAGCCCTCTGAGCCTGGAGTGATGTCAAATTCCTCCCCAGTGTCGCATGTCTTTGCATCCCTGAAACAGAAAGAGCAGAGACGATACTTGGACAAAACCCAAACGGGAAAAAACATTGTTATCGGCCAGTGATCTTAAGTAGTCTCTGAGTAATGACTATAAATCCGTGTGAATCAGGACAGAGATTTTCACATGTAGATAAGCTTTTCTGGAAAAGTCATTAGCCTGTCTTGGGCCTACATTAAGTCTAAGATGAACCGTAGCTAACTGATGTGCTTGAGCTGGTACTTCTCACTGAAGCTGACAGGTCACATAGGAGCTGTTTGCTAGATTTTCATTTAGCTTGTGGTTCTGATGCATTACCTCAAATTTTCAGGTGCTATAGTGACTTGTACTGACTGAATATCTAGTTAGAAAGGTGTCGTTAAATATATTGTGGCTATCTGTACCTTGAACTCTAGAGCAGATGATCCTTATGTTGATTGTATCTGAGAAAGAATCTTAATATGTCTTTGGGTAGGTCCAAATTTGCTTGCACTCCAGAAGCGTGCATCTTTTTTCCTGTCACTTAATTTAGGCAGAAGTTACTGAGCTCTTACCTACACCCTTAAAACTGGGATTTGTCTTTCAAGTGCAGATACTGACATGTTGTTCTACTCACATTTGTTGAATGTGTTGCAAGCTGGTTTATAATGGTTTGTTATGTTTCATTTCTGTCTCTTAGCTGTGTGTGTAAAGAAGGGGAGATTGGAGATGGGAGAAGTTGCTATAAAGATCTCTTGAGTGAGATAAATCAGCATAATTCACGAGGAAGGTTTGCTAGGAAATTAAACGTCGCCAGCAAAATGTTTGGTAAATGTCTTTAGAATTTGTTTGGGGGATGGAGCAAACGTGGGGAAAAGAGTGTGTGCCTTTCAGTGTAACAGATCCGTTTTGCAGTGAATAGCCTTGGGCTGCAGGATGAACTCCTATTACCAGTCTGGACTGGGAATTGAGGGTAGTGTTGCCAAGAGCGCTGTGGATGAGTATTAGGTATCTGACAGTCCCGGTGAAGGACGTACCATATCTGCAGAAGGAAAAGGTGCCGTGGAGGGGCGTTTGTATCTAACCACCAGTGTGCCTCCACCTGCAGTATCTATGTTGAAGGCTCAGCAATCTTTCAGCGGTCGCTGTGTTTTCTGGCGGCGATGCTGGAGGCTGGTGTGCCATGGGTTCTCCACTTAGTAGAACATCATCTAAGCCCTTAAACAACCTCCTTGCCAGCATGCATGTGTGAGTGGCTATTATAGAGATGAAAAAGCTTTATTCTATGCACCATGGTACTTTCTAAGCAAGAAATTGTTTTGCAAAGCGTAGAAGACTTTTAGAACCCATGTACTGTAAGTATGGGGAGTGATATCCCCAAAGGTTAATTTTTGTCTTACTCTAATCCAAGGAAAGAATGAGAACCCTTTAGATCACGTCAAGGCATATTTATGTTAGATACCTTCTCCAACTCATCCTCTGCACAGCCTTCACTGTCTCCACTAAGTTGACAGGAACATAGAGATTCAGCTCAAAACTCAGCTTAGCTCTTGTGAATTCCCCTCCTTGCTACAGATCAGTGTTGCCAAAACTAATTTTTTGCATGTATTTTCCATAAGGATTTGTGCTGTGGGCAACAGCATGATCTCTGGCTTCCTAACTCCTGTGCAGTGGGACTTAATACCTAATGACCTTTGTTGATGGGCTATTAACGGTTGAGTGAAAACTGATAACTGTGTATTCATAGTGTGCTATCAAGAGGTATTTATTCTCAATAAATCCTGATGACACCCAAAAGTTAGTTGTTTGAAGGGAAGGAGAGAGGGCACTTGGCTCAAGATTAAAGTAGTAAGCATGTGGAAGCAAAATTATTATGAATATTCTGCAAATCTCAGCGGTGATTCGAAGTGGACCAAAGTCACCAGCTTTCATTCAGAAATCTTGTGGGCAAGTGCTTACAATGAACAGCAACCAAGCTGGGCTGTGTCAGCAATACCAAACTCCCTCTGTCCCCTTGTAAACAAGTGCCAGTCACTTGCATCACGCCAGAAAAGTGTAGATTGATTTGTGCTGTTAACAAGAGGAATAATTATTGCTGGAGTTAAACCATATAACAAGTAACTACTTCATGTTTGCACTCTTTTTACAGTTTCTGGTTGCTCAGTGTTGCTGACTAAATATGGGCCTTTCACAGTCTTTGTACCATCCCTTCTTCCGATTCATGATAGAATGGAATTTAACGTAAGTTTTCTTGGTTTTAGCAAGAAAATTTTTGCTGTCTTAGAATTCTTTCCAGCCTGAGTTCTGCAGCCTCCAGAATCTGACTGACACATGAGAGAGAGAGGAACTTTGGAAGGCAGTATTTGTAGAAGTAATCTCTTGGGAAGACACTTCATTGTCTGGTTAAGTTGCAGTCTCATAGAGGATGTTACATCGTTTGCACTATTTTTAAGACCTCTGTCTCTTCACTATTGACAGAGTTTCTTTGTTTTTATTGTCAGGAAGTGTAAGTTTTTCTGGACATTTTTCATTTAAAGCTCGGACCTCCTGTGTGTGATTAGTCTCAAAACTTTAGGTGGCTTTTCACTACTTGAGGGTGGGGTTTTCAAGAAAGGCTGACATTTGCATCGAAGTATTGGATTTTGGGCCTGTGGCCATAGATGTGGGTATGATGTCAGCATCTTGAGAAGAGCTCATTTTATTCCTGGGCACAGCAAGGATGGCAGGGCTGGAGAAAACTGCTGTGGGAGATGGGAGTTTCAGAGTTCTAGGCTTCAGCAAGTAGGTCCTGCAGGTCATTTTATTATTTTATTTGTTTTTAGTTAAATTGTGTTAACTTGCAGTAGTTTTTGAACAGTTAAGCCCACAACCAGGTTATCCAGCATTAGGGTGAGAAGGTATGTAAGCTCTTTTCCCAGAAGAGAGCTAAAAATCAGCATGCATGAGGTACAAATGCAGCTCATCCAGCAGGGATTTTAATTGCATGCTAGGCAAGGTGCCTGTTGTGTTTCAGGTGGGAGCTAGCTTGCAGCTAGTGCTGGGATAAGAGAGGGTAATTATCTTAAAAAAACCCCAGATTGACCAACCCCATTTGAACATTACTTTTCCAACTGGTTTAGAAATATCATTCTTCTGCTTAGGGAGCAACTCCTAACCTACTAATGCCAGGGACGTTAGCTGTCTCCTACTACCTTGTTGAGCAGAGGTTTCCACTAACATGAGTCAGGCCCTGTGTCTAGGTCATCATGCTAACTTTGGCTTCATAGAAAATACATCATGAAAGGCCCCTGAGGTATCTAGCCTTCCTGTTCTCACAAGGGTCAGCTCCACCTAAATCAGTATTGACAGAGGATTGTCTTAAAAAACACCAGTGATGGAAATCCCAGAAAAAGAAGGAAAGAAAGTAAATGTAAATTCAGCAGCGTAGACTACCTACATGGTCCAACATAAATAAAGATTGTCTATGGGGAGCTTCAGCAAGGTCAGTAACGTGGAGCGTGCAAGGATAATTTTTAAATTGTCCAAGTCCAATAGGTTTCTGTCTAGGGGATTCCTCTAAAGTCACTTGCAGGTTGATCAGTCTCCCTGTGTTTGAATGTGTACACAAAGAGAAGCAAAAGGTTTGCCACAGTGCTACTCCAGTCAACCAAAATGAAGAGGGAAGCTCAATCTTGTATGCTGAGAATGTCTCTGTGTGTTAGCTGGGAGAAAGGTAATGTTATGGCTCTTTCAGTAAATGAGGTTCTTGAAAGAATGTGTCATTTATCTTCTTTCTGTGGTCTTTATTCCTCAAAGGACACCACTGCTGAGCATCTGTGCAGAATGCACATTGTTCCTGGACTGCATTTGATAGAAGACATGGTGAAAGCCAAGACTCTGTGGACCTTGTCAGGACATCAGCTAACATTCAGTAGCCAGGTAAAGGATCTCCTGTACTCAGATCCTGGACCGCTGCTGTCATGTAGGACAGACTGAAGCTTTGGCATAGTTTCCTTGGTGCACTTTCTTAAGCAGAAAACCTTTTTATTTAATCAGCCTGACTGCAATCAGAACAAGCTCATTTGTGGAGTCCAAAGTAAAGTGATTTAAGACTGGACACCTCAAGCAACCACCTCTGCCATCTTGCAGACAGCCAGTTAGCCAGAATCTGACTTGTGAATGGTCTTTCCTTGGTCCGTATATATGGAGAAGAGACCTTTTTCCTACACCGTTAGCAGTGACAATATGCATGTGGCTGACATGGAAGAGGCAACAAAGTCTCGTGCTTGGACACAGCCACATGCAGAATATTTTCTCTTCCATTTCCCTTTTCCCTTCTTTCCATTTTATTTTTCTTAGCCGTCCTAGCAGAGTTTTTCATCATTGTGTTCTGATACGGAAGGCTTTTTTTCCCTTTTCCTTTTTTCAGTTGACTAATATTTTCCAGCTTCCCCTGTTCTCTCTCCATCCTGCACTTTTCCTGCATGCATGCTCTCAGCTGCCCAAGGGAGAGCCGTGTGTTTCCTCTCTGAGGATCCAGCCTTGGCCTTGATGTCTAGGTCGTCATACATGCAGCCTGCATGCATCAAAAGGACAAAGCACTCTCTGGAGCTGGGGAATCCGAACTGAGCTTGTCGATGTCCTTTTAAATTTCTTTCCTGTTTGTTTACTCAGGGGCCTTTTGATCTGGGAAGTCTGCCCTCCCCTTCCTTTGTTTCAGGCAGAATCCTCAGTGATGGGAACTGAAGTTCAGGGCTGGGAGGAGCAATTCAAGAAATGCACGTAGTGAAGTGAAAAGCACCCGGAAGTTGTGCTTGCCTGAACTTGGATCATGGCTGCAGCACCAATACCTCAGTGCTTGGTTTCTAGGTTACCCTTGGAACACCTCCATATGCCCAGTGCATGGTTGTATACAGTATGGAAGGACCAGACATGTGCCTTAGAATTCAGTGAGCCTGAGTGGTTTGGCTTTGTTATGAAAACTCCTTGTTGGCATTATGAGCCAATAAAAGTTGCAATCAAAGGTGTAGTTCCAGGTTTGCCTCCAAATTCTGTACTCCGGTGCCTAGGAAGCACTGTGCCTCTCTCCTTGTACTTGGCAGACTGATGCAGCAGCTGCTTGATGGTCAGTGCACCTTTTGTCATCCAGAGCTGGGACCAAGCATTGTTCACACTCAGGCAAACTTAATTCTAGAGCTAACTGACCCAGATTAGGTGTTCTTTCTGTAGTAAGACTTAAAAGTACCCCTCAGGATCAAAATACTACCCAAACTCTAGCAGAGATGGCATGTTTGCCTTACAGCTAGGCCACACCTTAAATGTACTTTTTCCAGAGTAACTCTGCTTGTGCAAGACCTTGCACAACCAGCTGAAGACCTTGTTGACCTGTAAGCGGAGAGCACTGAAGGGAACAATGATTTATAGATCTATCATGATAACACAGATATACCACAAGAAAATAACTTTCTATTGCTTTCCAGGCGTACATCAAATTTCGATATCAGGATCTGCCGGGGGAACTGTACAATGTTTTGCAGTCAAACCTACCAGCGGCCAATGGGATCATGCATATCGTTAACACCCTAAGGAAAAACACTAGTGCTGACAACCTCAGAAACCCACAGGTACACAGACATTTGTATTTATTCTGGTTGATGGGACAGCAGAATAAACACTTGAAAAAAATTATCTATTTTCATCATTAAACTTCCAAAGCAATGGGCTTTTTTTTAAAGAGAAAAGGCAATTTATTTTGTTTTCATCTCCTGGTACGGCCTGTTAGGCACTGTTATGTCAGCATACCATTAAAAGCAGCAAATAACACTGCATAAGCTATGTGCAGACCTTGCAATGATGCCTTTGCAGTGCTTGGAAGAGCAGAGAGCTCTACTTTCATGAGTAAGGTCACTCCCTTCATAGCAAATGAGCTCTTTTGCAGTTGTACCTTACAGAATATGTATCTTACGGGATAAATGTTAAAAAAGCATTTTTCAGATAAAAATCAAGTTAAGATTTTCTTTAAGTGTTTTTTTTTAAGGTTTTTCTTTTAAGTACTGCATTTTGAAATTATAATGAAAAAAATGCCTTTGCATTAAAATTATTTAAAATGAGGACAAATAATTATTAGACTTTTACATTTTGAAATCATGTCTTGAATTTAAGACACTGGTTCAAGTTCTGCTAAGCACTTTTCCCTGTTATCTGGGAGAAGTTTTTGCTATAGCTACTATATTGCTATGCCTGAGCATTTATATATTGTTTCTATATGCAGAAAGCAGGGCCTGCTACTTCCTACCTCCTTGCAAAAAAATTACTCATAGAATGACACAAGCTTTTGGATTTGGTAGGATTTCACTTACTTTTTGCACTTACTTTACACCATTGTAATCAATCTGTCAAAACAACCAGACTGCATAATATTGTTGTATTTTGTGTGTTTAAAAACCAGCTGGAGCGTTGTATTGAGTGTTAGCATCTCTTTAGCTGAAGGGATCTGAGGATGTTGGATCAACTGTAAAAGTTCTGGGTGCTCAGATGGATTTGATTGTGGCCATCGCTGATGTTGAAGCCTGCTGTCACTTAAGATGCTCTCGGTCTTATGACTTCCGTGAGGATGTTTTCCAAAAAAGAGTGTCTGCAGTGCAGAGGGGAAGCTCAACCCCTGTGTTTCTGTGCTCAGGTACCTGCAGGGAAGGGTTTGCAGCTATTCTGGGATGGCAGGACAGTAAGAGAGCTCCCTGCAGAGCTTGTCTCTGGACTCCAGACATCATCTTCCTTGTGATGCTGGTTTTGCAGTGAAGGCTGGTGATCACATCAGTAATTTTTGGCATCAAATCCTTTTGTATATTTAGAAATAACATTCTGTGCCTCTGCATGTTCTACAGGAAGTACTTTCTGCCAAAAAAGCATGCAGATTCCTGCAAGTAAAGGTCAGACAAGTCCCTTCGCAAGATTTCATACTTGAAGGGACATTCTTTCTGTTACCTTTGTCCTCATGGGCAGTGTAGTAAAAACGCAGGCATCTCTTTCCTCCATGTTTTCAGGAATATGCATACATATTGTATTTTCTCAGCATTGGGGCTCATTTGCAGGCGACAGAACTTGAACTCTTGTCCTCAAGGCACAGGGAGACTTGAGATGACAGAGCAGCTCCACTACCTGCTGACCTGGAACTAATTTGTATATTGCTGGAAGCAGTGTGTCTCTAGTTTTAATGAGAATGAGAAATTGCTTCTTTATTAAATTTCATCTATAGATGGGAGTAGGAAAACAGAAGGGTGCTCAAGTGCATGGTACCTTGGAAAATCTGGTTTCTGGTGCATGTGAAGGAGTTTGTGCCTATGTTTCTGCAGGCTCAGTCCTTGCTAGGCCAACTGGCCAATACAGTGGTTTTTGAAGACTTTGAGGATGACGGTCTCCTGCAGATCTTTACGTGCAAACCACAAACATCAACTTTTTTTTCCTCTTTATATCTTCTTGCAGAAAACCATTGGTGAGATCCTTGCTTCAATGGAGATCTTCAGTAGATTTGAAACTATACTGGAGGTAAGCATGTTTGTGTCTGCCCCAAGAAGGTGTGGTGTTGCTGTGGTTTTTGTGGGATTTTTGAATAACATTCAAATATATCTCAGTGGTTTGGCTTTCTTTCTCTATCTTCTTCTGTGCCATTTCTTATTTTGTGTATTTTGTATAAGCAAATGTAATGCTTATACAAATCAGATTTTTCATATCGATAGGGAATCTGGCACAAGCAGCAAGCACACATGCCTCTTTCCCATCTGCTTCCTACCTCCCTTTCTCCTCTTCCCTGGAAGTTTGTTCTTCTAAGAATGTTTAGTTCTTGACGACTGTCAGGACAAAGAGGGAAGGTTTCATGACTGCCCATGCCCAGCTAGATTGTAGATACCTGGTTTTGGAGTGTAGATCTCTAAATAAAAGTAGACCTCAGGTTATAAAGCCTGAGGCTGCTGCCCAGGATTTATTTAGTTAGTATTTTTACTAGGGACAGACTGATTTTCCTTTTACCTCCATCAGAGTCATCTGGATCTGCTCTAGCATTGCTCACAACAATCTTGGCCTGCCAGTTTTCAGCTCTGTGGCTATTGATGGTTTACAAAATTCCCTAACTGCGATTGTGATTATAGACTTGATTCTTTTTTTTTCTTCTCTTCAAGCAAAAAGATACAATTTTAGTCTCTGTATATGTCCTTGTGTGTTTAAAGCACACACATTAGCTGCATTCACACCAGTGGCTTCATTGTCCAAGCTGCGTTTTTGTGGCATTTATGCCTCTGTTACATTACATACCTATCCTTGATGCCCAGTTGTCTCTTGTATGTGTTTGATTTTCAATTGCTCTACCTTTAGTGGGTTACTTAGGGTTTCCTCTCCCTTCCTGATAGACCCCTCTCACTAACTCATGCTGGATTCATGATGAAATCTTTTATTGTTTTTGCAGAACTGTGGCCTGCCTGCGATACTGGATGGACCAGGTCCCTTTACTGTATTTGTACCCAGCAATGATGGTGTGGATAAGTTGAGAGATGGAAGGCTTATTTATCTTTTCACAGAGGTGAGAGCTCAGAGTACTTTAAGACATCCTGGGGTAACTGTGTTGCACTAGGATGTGCGGGATGGCTTGTGCAATGTGTCTGGTCATTGCTGGAAGTTGTTCTTCCTGGGAATGGCTAAGCCATGTCTCTGTTTCTGTAAGGCTTTGGGAGAAAAGTGAATACTGATGGAACCTGCAGTGAGAAATACTGGCTTTCTTTCCTCACCCCAGCTTTGGGTAGGGGACAATGAAGCAACTTATTTGCCAAGTGAATTCACTGCTATAGCACATTGGCGGTGTCAGTCATTGGATAAAAGACAATGTAGTTGCCTCCTCTTACTCCTGAGCTTTGAAGGGGTATGTAATTTTTATGTTCTCTTCTTTCCTTAGGGCATAAATAAGCTTCAGGAACTTGTGAAACATCATATCTACAGTTCAGCAGCGGTAAGACAGGCAGCTGTAATTCCAGATAACTGGGGTCCCTCGGGCCAGCGTGTTATCAGCCATGCTGTTTAGTGTAGAGGTCGGAGTGTTGATGACTTCAGCTGCTACTTCTTGGACTTGCCCTGGAGAAGCAGAAATGTGATTCAGGATCTGATGAGATAAAATGTTTACCATGAGAGTGGTTGCCAAAAGGGATAGCTTGTGCTCTTATATCACGAAAATCCTAGGAATAATGCTGCTCCTTAGTTGGATGGTCTTTACAATGAAAATATGTGCAACAGAGTTTGCTGTAGGCAAATGCTCTCTTGTTATCACTTTAATTTGTTAAACTATTAATCAGGAGTGTACCTAAATTATGAACTCTCCAGCCTACATTTTCCCTAAAAAACGAATAGCAGCGATACAAAACTTATAGCTAGACAAAGGATTGGTCCAAACTCCCTGCTCCCCTCTTTCCTTGGGCTTCACCAGTGGCTAAAGTTAGAGATGGAAAATTGGTGCAAGTGAGCCTGTGATCTGACCCAGTACTGCCAATTCTTGCACCCAGATTCCTGTGTACTGCAATGGCAGGGTAAACAAAATCAGTACAGTACATCAGCAAGACATTTTCCCTTATACAGTAAACAAGAGGAGTGTTTGAAGTTAGACACAAAACCTGCGGAGGAAGTGAATACTCAAGTATTATGGTACAATGTCATGTCCTTCATTAAGAAATATCAATATTATTACATTTGAGAAGCAAGTGTCAGTTTGTGTGATTTTCCTGATTCCCATCGAGAAAACTAGCAGCACTTTGATAAAACAGTGAAGTATAGTTTTGCTTGCAGTTGATGAATAGCAACATGGTGACAAGTTGAGCTACTTTTCGTAACCTGTTGGACACAAAAATAAAAATTGTCACTTCTCAAATCATGAAGTCTCAGTACAGTAGCTGCAGTTTACATTTTTTCTGCCTTTCGACATAAGGTTATTTACTAAGTCGAAGTATGTTCTCTATTATGCTTCTGGCTGAGCTTTCATTGTTTATTGAATATGTACTGGAAAATCTCCTTATTAGTCTGACCCTATATGCAGCTGTATTAGCAAGAGATACTCTTAGTGAGACCTGATTTCAGCTGTGCTGGCCTGGTACCTCCACAAGGAATGGAAACCAAGGCTGCTGCCACCAGCACCGCTGTGATATGGCAAACAATTCAAAGTCCTGGGTTTCCCTCTGACCCATTGTTTGTGTTTAAGGTATCTTGTGGAATGTAAATGTTAAAGTCAAGTCCCCTTTAGAAGGTTAAGTGGTGGGAATCATGGAAGGATTCTGTAAGCCATACTGAAATGACGCTGCTCTTTCATACTGTCCCCTTATGTTTTTATTTCAGCTGACTGTAGAGAAACTGATGATGATGCCACACATTGTTACTATGGCTAACCAGATACTTACCATCAGCATCAGTGCAGATGTAAGTATGAATCAAAACCCGTTTGGGCAAACCCTCCTGTGCTAGGAGAAAACCTGGATGTGTTTCTGAACAATGTGGTTTCAGCCCATCTCTGCTTCCTCCTCTACTTAAAAACACTAGACTTGAATGAGGCCACTGAGTGAGTTTGCTTCTTATCCCACCTGTGCCTCCATTAAGAAGCATGACCATTAGTGTGGTTGCACTTGGTGTTGTGTACCCTCTGTTTTCTGCACTGGCTTTATGTCATTGATACAGTCTAATGAGCTAAAATGCAGATAAATTATTTGTGTTTCTGCATCAGGGAAGAATTCTGATGGATGAATCAGGGATCCCCTTAAAAATGCGAGACATTGTGGCATCAAATGGTATTATTCATACCTTGGATGGCATCTTCATCCCTCCTTCAATAATTCCCATTTTGCCTCACAGATGCAATGAAGAGCAACATAAAATTGTGACGGTAAGTCAGCTTCTCCCATTCTTATGCTAGTGGTTGCTGTAGACCCCACACTGGCCTGGAGGGACAAAAGCAGGCTGTGGAAATTGCATCTGGGAAATGTGTTCTCTCCGAGAGGCCCCCTGACGTGAACTTAGGCAGTGTCAGTACCGTCAGTGCTAGCACTTGGCACTGCTTTCCTGGCAATCAACATGTGTTCCTTGTAGGCTGTTGTTCTTTCCTTGCACCCATCCTACCTTTGATCAGAAATACATTTGCCTTTTCATAAGGCTTTATGGGATCTTCTTCACACCATAGTTGCTAACTCAGCTGACATGCTTTGTGCCCGTCATCATCAGCACTGGTCTCCTGGAGTCTGCACAGGAAGCAGCCATTCAGTAGCAGGAGCTACAAATGTTGTGTGATACTCTCACCTGAATGGTTTTGTATACCTTATTTTAGGTGCTTGCTCCCCAGTTTGATCGTTGGTAGGTTACTGAAGAAAGATTAGGCTCTGAACAGGCAAGAGGTACCTGATTTGGAGAGACACAGTTAATCCCAAGTGATCAGAGGGTCCACATAACTTGCTGATTTAATGGGGCCTGCTGTGTGGCTGCCCAAAGTGTTTTCCAGCATAGCTGCATGTCTGGTGGTGGATAGACTCACAGGGTGGAGACAGACCCCATCCTGCAGTCAGGTGCAAGCATCTCCTCAAGACAAAGAAGTCACTTAAATAAAGTGATAAACTCACCCCATTTCAGAATGTGGAAACTCCCTCCTAGGAATGTTTCTGATACATGTTGTGATGTTTTGGATATATACTGGGAGCAGTAGGTCTGTAGCATTCTTGGCATGGGGGATGGGTTCCTTTGAGAAGATTAAGTTTTCCCGTCTTGTTTTCATAACAGGGCTCTTGTGTTGATTGTGATGCCCTCAACAACAGCGTTTGCCCACCTGGCAGCAGAGAAATGGTAAGTATTTGTGGTCATTTCCCTAATTCCTTCTTTGCATTATGACACACAGACACACTGATAGTTTCTAACCCAAGCCACTTTCAAATAAATGGAGAGCAGGAAAGGCAATCGGTAAAGATGCTTGTTAAGAGGGTATATACTCCCCGCACAACCATGCTCTGTGATCCCAGACTGTCACCCGCTAGCTGCTCTGTGCTCTTTCTTATTCTGAAGTCTGCTGAATCGTTGGAGAGAGCTGTGAGACAGTCAGGGCTAAATGATACTGTAGACTTGCAGCTTTTGGCACTTCTGCTCTCTCAGGCACAGCTTTCCTGCTTATATGCTGAGTCCGCCAGTTTCTCCAGACTTCTAGAAGCAAGCCCAATTCCACTAGTACTATCCAGATACTACTACTTCTATCACAGCCAGAGAATCACAAGCTTTCTGCACTGCAGAGAGGGAGAAACTACTTGTTCTTGGTCTGTGCTCCCTGTTGATGCAGGGATGACCAGAACTAGCTGAAGGTGGAGTAAGGAGGAGGGGGCTGGGTGCTGGTGTTTGAGTTATCCAGTGCTGAGTTTATCAGAACAGGAAATCCCCATGTGAAGGCCAGGCCCAAGATATTGTTTGTGAAAGCCAGAGAGGTCTACACGACTGTTAGCTGTTGGGTGTCCTCTGAGAGATCTGACTTTCATGGGAACCTGCTGATGCGGTTTCAGCATGAATGTCTGAAGCAGAACTCTGCAAAATCACTAGTCACTCATTTTCCTCTCTGATTGAGGAGGTGAAGCCAGAATCATCTGGGGCCTGAGTCTAACTCCATGACAGCTCACTGAACATAGTTCCAAAATTATTTTTAGTCCTTTCCCCTCTCTCTCTGTTTCATCTCCCTCTCTCTCTCTCTCTCTCTCTCTTATTACCCCTCTGCCCCACTCTCCCTCCCTCCTGCCTTTCCCTCTCATCTCCATTCTCTTTCCTCGCCTCATTCTTGCCCTCTATTTCTGCCCCTGCCCTTTTCTCCTCCTTGTCTCCTCTCCCTCCCTTCCTCCCCATCTCCCCCTGCTCTCACTATCTTCCTCATCATAGACACTGTTATTAGAACAAAAAGGCAGCACCTTGGCTCAGACCTGGGGATTGCTGGGAGCAAGAGGAAGCCGCCATGTGCCTTCCTTCATGATAGGCATCCGTAATGGTATCTTGCTCACCTTAGCTCCTCTGTGAACTTCCTGAGCTCAGAGATAGGCATAGTTGCTCTCTGCAGCAAAAAGAGCAGAAGGGAAGGTTACAGTGCTGATGACTTTTTTTTGGTACAGGAACCAACGCTAAAAATCCATGATCCGCAAGGCCTGAATGTCCTGAAGAAGGGGTGCGCCAGGTACTGCAATCAAACCATCACGGTGAGTGTGATGGAAGACTGCATTCCCTTTGAAAGGAGCTTTGCTCTTCCTCATTCATCAAGAAGAGCTCTGACTCCTTGAGCTGAGACCGGGCTGGATGGGAGCAAAAGAAAAGCTGTCCCATGCAAGGGCTGTCCCCAGGACCGTCACATGAACTGGCTGCCTGCTTTTTCTTTGGCAAACAGAGAGAACACAGGGTACTAACCTGCTGCAAATGTTAGAAAGCAGCTTAGTTAAACCTGAGTACCATAAATAAATAAAATAGAGCACACCAGTCGCAACCAGCCAAGCTGGAGGAAGCCACAAGACAAGTGGTGCAGTGTTAGCTGTGGCACGCTTTCTCTGAGTGCCCTGGTTTTAGCATTTCTCCCAGAGGAAGCTCAGCACAGGGAAAGTGCCGTAAGATGTGAAGTGATTGCATCCTGTTTATCAAACGTTGTCAGATGGCTCGGGAAAGTCGCTCTTAGCAAGTTTATGGACCTCATATCTGTCTGCAGCTCCTGAGCTCTCACAGTGCTAACTCTATGGAATGATTTGTCGGTGTCTCAATAAATACTGCTGATTGTTTATCTTGTGATTGTTCTTCCGTTGGTCAGTTGTGACAGGGCCTGTGATCCAGGACTGCTACATCCCTCCAAAGGAATGCAGTCCTCGGCAAAGATAAAGTAGAACTGAGTGGGCCAGCACTATTAAAGAAATAAAACCTCATAGAAAACATGGACCTTATTTGTTGAAGTCAGAGAGCAGAAAATAGTGATTTGTTCTGAGAATAACAGGCTGTGAGCAGAAAGAGGGGGTGTTACCAAAAAGTAATTTAGGGGCAAGTGCTGCTAGAAACACATGCCAAGTGAGACAGTCCATTTTGGTCCATGGCAGAGGAGGACCAGGATTTCAGAATTATAAGGGCAGGGTGACTCCACGCAATTCCTATTAAGTCACGTCATACTTTACCAATTTTGCTTTTGTTTCAGAAACCTGGATGCTGCAAAGGATTCTTTGGTCCAGACTGCATGCCATGCCCAGGGGGATTTTCCAGTCCATGCTATGGCCGGGGAAATGTAAGTATGAAAGACCCTGCTGCCTTGCAATGAGCAGTTGAGACAGTGTGCTTAGAGAGTGTAGTTGTAGATGAGTGCAATTCAGAGTTTGTGCTCCAGGGCTAAGCCCACAGCAGCGGCAGCAGAAGATCCAGGGAGAATGGCACGTACTCAGTGGGTTTTCTGTCTTGAGCCCTAATGTGAATCATGACATGGCAGTTAGGGACAGCTCTGGATATGTGGGATTTTGTATTACTACCACCACTCTTCAAAGTTCTGGATTTTACTAGGAGTATCGAAGTGCCTTTGATAGATATCAACACCTTAGCTTTCCTGAGCTTCAATCACTTTGTTTTTATTTTCCTTCCAGTGTAGTGATGGCATACAAGGGAGTGGCAGCTGTCACTGCTTCGAAGGTTTCAAAGGAATAGCCTGCCACATCTGTTCAAACCCAAACAAGCATGGCGAGAACTGTGACGAAGGTTGGTGATTCTGATAGAGAGACTAGAGGAAAATGTAGGGCAAGGATATAGTGCAGGTTCACATATCCTGGATTGCCTTCTGGCGAGACCAGCGTCATGAAAAAAGTGACAGAAATGTCCCATGGGTGTCCCTTCGAACAACAGGGGAGAAAACGTGGCTGATATGACAGTGGTGATGAGGGTCTTGGAAACATTAGCCAAATATAAGTGTCAGACTTTGATTTAAATCTCTCCTGCTAGGAAAGAAAAGACAGTGACAAGGACCTTAAGCTTGATAGTCTGAATTTGAGCCTGGCTTTACAACTTATAAAAAACATGGACCCAAGCAGTCACAGGATTTGTCCCCTGGCCAGGTTTTGAGTTATGATGGATGTGTCTTAGCAGACGTCCCTCTGTCAAGAACAAATGGGATGATCATGTGGTGTCACAAGAGGTTGTGAAGGAAAGTGGGGGATCTACAAAATGCCATCACTGTGGTAGATTCCGGACTTTTGGTAGTTACTGACCTTACTCCTTGTACCTGACAGATTGTGGCTGTGTCCATGGTGTCTGTGACAACAGGCCTGGCAGCGGCGGTGTGTGTCAGGCCTGGTCCTGTGAGGAAGGCTATAGTGGGAAATTCTGTGACAAGATGTCCAGGAACTGTGGCCCGAATGGACTGTCCCAGTACTGCCACCAGAACGCTGTCTGCAGCCTCAATGACACAGCAAGGTCAGTCTTTCCAGCATATACATTCAGGAGGGCACACTGTCACTGTACAGGCACGCAGTGACTGTGAGGCTGCCAGCCCTGTAGTTGTGCATACATGTCTGCATACACAGCCAACCTGCTAGAATTTGAAGTCCAGTTCTCGCTTGCTTGAGAGGCTCAAACTGCCTTTTTGCTCTCTGCTGCCTTTCAGAAGGGGCTGTTCTATCTGTGTCCCTTTTGTGCTTATACTTTTAAGGTGCATCTGCATGGATGGATATGAAGGTGATGGATTTTCCTGCCAGCCCATTGATCTGTGCAGTCAGCCAGAACGAGGAGGCTGTTCACAGAATGTAAGTGTGGTCAGACCGATGAAGCGTGGAGAAGCAACTCCTATCAATCAGAGCAGGGATCCAGGACTCCTAGGACTCTTACACATTTTGTGTGCTAACTTTCCCTGTCTGTAGGAAGGGGTGGAATAACAGGTACCTTTGCACAGCCATCATAAGGATGTCAGTCATTAGGGTTGGTGCCAAAATGCGACACCCCAGGGAGAATTTGGCTGGTTTGCACCAGGTATTTTAGCAGCTACAGAGATTAGCTGTACAGAGAGTTTTTGGTTTGTATTGATTTTCCCCTCAAGTTCTTCTAATGTCTGTTAATTTCTCTGTTGCTGTGTTCAGGCTGTAGCTTAGCTGTAAGCTCCAACTCATATTTCTGGTAACTGTCAACACCACATTATTATCCTTTCAACACCACATTATTATCTTGTAGTGCTTTATGATGGAAATGACTGCCAAATGGTCAGACCTCATCATAGTTTAGATCCCTCAGTGAGAGGAACACACTGGGCCGTGTAGAAGGAAATAGGATGGCACTGGGTACAAAGTCGGCCTTTCCTGACAGAGATCTGCCCTCCGTCATTGACTCCATCCCGCATATACAAGGAGGAAATTGTGGTCCTCCTCTTCAGGGAATATTTCTTCTGTAATGGAAGAGCTTTGCAGGATGGTAGGGAATGCTCTGGGAGTTCTGAGCCACCCCAGACACAAGTGTCTGCCTCTCTGAAAACTGTCAGTTTTTCCAGGATCACTTTATTATGAAGTTGTTTAGGACTTCTCTGAAGAAGATGCTTCTGCTCCCCACCCCTGGTGCTGGAATCAGAATTGGTCATTCAGAAACTCCCCACAGTCTGATGAAGGAGATTTGTTGCTGTATTTGCACTGCACTCCCTCCCTTCTTCTGCTGAGTGTAATTCTTTTTCTCTCCCTTCTCCTGGAGGCCCTGTGCACCAGTACAGGCCCTGGCACCGCCACCTGCCAGTGCAACACGGGCTGGACCGGGGACGGGAAGGCCTGCGTGGCTATTGACAACTGCATGCTGGAGAGCAGAGCGAACTGTCACATCAATGCCGACTGCGTTTATATCGGCCCCGGCCAGGTATGATCAGTGCTAAGCAGTCTGATGGTGGTAACATTTCCTAAGCTGCTCTGAGATAGCCTGGGATCACCAGAGGTAGAAATTGGGCTGGAGCCTGCTTGTCTGCTGCCAGAAACACTGCCTGCAGCTAAAACCACACAGTGTACTTGCAGGAGGTGAGATGCACTGATGTGTTTGAGGCTGTTGCTCTACTCTGAAACTTCCATGCAGAAAAGGGAAGAGACTACACTCCATGGCACAGCTTGGCATCAGTTGCTGTGCCCCACTTGTTCTATATCATGGCATTATCTCTAGGCAATGCAAAAATATACGGAACAGTGTGTTTAGATAATCCGTGGAGGGAGCTGGGCTGACAGTTGGGCATCTTGAGGTAGGAAAAAGGCACACAGAAGTGACTTCTCAGGGTGCTGCTTCTCAAAATGTTTCTCCTCACTGAGCCAGGAGAGCATTGGACAATGTGCTGGAAAAGGGTGCCAAATCTTTAGCAGGTTTCAGTGAGGTGAAGTTTGCAGGTGCTTTCCTAGCTATCCTGAAAGTAGGAAGCTTTGGTATTAACCCCTCTTCTCTTTCTGCGGTTCACTAAGTCTGTGTCATTCCCTGAAAAGCTGGAAATAAAGATGGAAACTATCATGTTCAAGTGACCCTCCCACAACCAAGCAGCGCTCGAGTAATCAGTGTGTGTGCTGTGATAGAGAGTGATGCCCTGCTAATACCTTCACATTTCCAGGTTGTGAGAGACCAGGAAGAAAACTTGGGAAAATAAATTAAGAATAGGTTTTGCTGCCTTCAGCCTTTTTTGGATAGGAAATAAGGACCTTCTGGTAGGTCTATAAAACTGAAATGTCTCCTTCTTGCAGAGCAATTGTGTCTGCAAGAGGGGTTATGCTGGAGATGGCTACAACTGTGATGCCATCAACCCGTGCCTCATGGACAATGGTGGCTGCCATGACTTGGTGAGTAGCTAAAGTGCTGTCCCAAGGCAGGCATGGCGGTGGAGTTTTCTCTGCTCCCTGACAGAGGTTTTTCAGCCATGGTGGTGAAAGAATTGCGAAGATTTACATTACATCATCTTATTGGGATGCCACTGAGATGTTACAAAGCTTTGGTCTCTGATTTATCCAGGCAGATCCTCTGTTTTTTCGAGTTCACACAAGCAGAGCCATCACCTAGGCTTTGCTGGGGTGGGATATAACTACAGTGCCACCATAAAGGAAACGGGAGGAAGGTGCTTCGGGGTGCTCCACTAGCCCAGGCCGTAGGAGGCCAGAATTCAATTCCTAGATAGGTGTTAACAGCACATAACCTGTGTTTGCTCTCTAATATCTTCTGTCCTTGTATTTGCAGGCTACATGTGTACCCCTTGGAGGAGGAGAGAGATCCTGCACTTGTCCTCAAGCCTACATGGGGGATGGCATGACATGCTATGGGGACATTCTAAAAGTGAGTAAAAAGTAAATGAGGTCTTCTTGAGATTGGAGAGAAATGGCTCTGCTCTTCCTTTCCTTTTCTCTGTTACCTGAGTTGGCTCCTTCTCCCAGCACCAGCCTGACGGCACAGCAGTGTGTCTGCCTAAGGCCGCAGAGACAGAACTGGTGCCAAGGCCAATGTGTTCATGAAACCATTGGCAATAACTCTAAGCTGCTTCACCCCAGTCTGTCCTGTGCAATAAGTCATTTTTTTTCTTGTTTGGGAACTTCTTGTCAGAGCTGCTAGGCCCTTTTTCTGTCATTAGAAATATCAGTGACCACTATGGATTCAGTCCCTGTCCCTGGTAAACATGAGCAATTGCAGATGAGTTGAAAGGAGTTTGTTTCTTTTGATGGCTGGAGTGTGGTTGTAGGAGTGCCCATCCCTCCCCATGATACACAGTACCTGTAATGGTTGTAAGGTGAGAGAGGAGTGACTGTGTCATGATTGCCAGGTCTGATATTGCAGAGGGCTCCTTTCTCCCACCCTGGGTCTCCCAGTCCTGCAAAACCAGTGGTCAGCAGGGGTAACCCTTCTGTTGTTTCTGTTTGGAAGGAGCTGGCGAGGAATTCCCACTTTGCAGGCTTCTACGACTGGCTTAAGGTAAGAACAGCCATGCATGAGTAAGTTTGGTGGAAGTGAAGTCTCTGTGAACACTGGTGCTAGAGAAACTCCATTTATCCTTTTCATTAGAGAAAAACGAAACAACAGCAAAGGAGAAATCGTTACAGGGCAGGTGTGTAGAACAGCTCTGGAGTTTGAGATAGACTGGGGGTTGTGAGGGTGTTCTGGGGGCCTTGTTTCTAGCACCGGAGGAAGCTGGGGCTGTGTTGCACTTAATTTTCATGGTTGTATCATCCGTATCTCCTGGCTGTCATAAAACAGCACAGAAGAAAAAGAAAAAGGGGCAGCATTACCATAGCAGTTTTTCAGAAAAGCATGCTTTGAGAAGTTAGACCGTATGTTTGTTTCTTTTCTTGTTACTGCTTCCCTGTCTCTGGTGTGGCAATAACAGACAGTGCAGACTGCAGCAAGTCTGGGGAAGCATGCTGTGATATGTGGCATCTCATTGAGCTTCAGCCTACCTCTCCTGTTGCATACATTGCTTTCACCAGGAATAATCTTGGTCTCTTCCCCAAAACTGATGTTGAGGGTTCAGAAAGGATTTATGGATATGATTGAATGGGCTTGAAGAATAATTAAAATATGAAAGTAGGGCTCAAAGCGGCAGGTTTCCCTTGGCAGACAGGTGTCAGCTGTTTTGGCTAAACCCCCTGTGGCATTCATTGATTGCCAACAGCATTTACCTGCCATGCACAGGCATGTGTCTTCCTACACATCCCTTTCACGTGACTGCAAGGGCGGGACGGTTGTTAGTTATATTTTGTGGTAGAGATGTGGCACTGGCATGTCTTATTTGTTCATTTTTGTGCTTTGGACAACAGAAATCTCTCTTCAGCATCCCAGCAAAAAAGCCATCAGAGGCAGCTATCAAAAACTTGAGCAAGACTGAGAAGGATTTCTGGTTGACGCCCTACATGCTGCCATTTTTAGTCAGGTACAAGGAGACTCTTGCCTTTGGTTTATATTGCCAAAGAACAGCAATGAAGCTGTGAGCTGGATTTCTGCTTTTACAAAACCAGTAAAGAGTTATCTTGACATAAGTATAGAAGCAAGAATAAATATGTAGTAGGTAAAGGATTTATTAGGCATTTAAAACATGGCAGACCTCAGGCAGCTGGATGTGGGTTTATTTTCCATGTATTTGCAGAGAGAGATTTTCACTGTCATGTGGATGCAGATGGCATCAGGACAAGTAATTTCCTCTGCCATTCTCTTCACATGATTAACTACTTCATGTGAGAGATGTGGATGTTGGGTGCTATGGTCTTATCTCCCTGTTGCTACAAACAGTGCCCTAATCTTTTCTTTACCTGCCTTTGTTCCCTTCAGGGCCCACTTTCTCGAAGGCATCCTCACTAGTGAAAAGCTCAAAAAGTACAACAGACCAGAATTACCCACGCTCAACCCACAGACCAGATGGCAGATAAACACTGGGAGCGGCGTAAGGGTTTCTTACATAACGCAATGTACCAGTATCAAACTGCTCGAGCTGCTGTATCCAGTGGGGAGCATGGGTGGGACACTGGTGCTCTCAAACGCAGACATCTTTCAAAAATTGTACCCAGACCAATCATGTGCAACCTTGAACGAACAATATATTTGCTTAGAACTTCCTTGGCAATTTCTAATCCTTTTGCTTCTACCTCTGATACTTTTCCAGGTATTAACTATCCAGAATGCGAGTATAGTCGTCAGCGACGTCCCTGCCAGCAATGGCATCATTCACATCCTCAGTAAGGTATGTTGGTACATGCAATACTGGGAAATGCTGCAGCTGTAGCAGCAAATTTGTGCTGTAGCATCTGTGATGGGGCCAAGGAGGAATACATGTCTGGACAGTTAGGAAGGGATATCATGGCAAAAATATATTTGGCTATCACAAGGTCCTGACAGATGTTTCCTGTGCAGCAGTGTTTAATGTTTAAAATATTTGTCTCCAGGACAAGTGGGAAGGGAGTTCCTCTTCTCTTGGCTGACAGAAGAAGGGTTAGGGTTATTGCAGTATTGCGTAAAATGTGGCCATTTCCACTTGGCTTCCTTGCAAGCAGGGCAGGAGTCTAGTGTGATTTCCCCCAGAGCTCCTTGCCCAGCCTTCCTCATGAACTCGCTTTTCCCCTAGGTTTTGTTGCCGGCTTCAGGAGATATCCCACCGAGTCCTCCAGGTCTGCAGAAACAGCTCGAGACAGTTGCCTCATTCAGCACATTCAAGGAGTTGTTGCAGGTAAGCAGTTGAGGTGAGCGCTGGTGTGGTTGTCAGAACTGTCTTTTGAGCAAACCCACTTCACCCTGTACTGGTGGACCAAAATTCGGACTGTGGGGTGAGAAAAGGGAGACCATCCATTTCCTACTATACATGAAGGATCTTCTAAGAAAGCTCTTTTGAGCAGCGGAAGAGTTATATACTTACAGGTAGATCTCTAGATCATGATGTTATCCCAGTGGAAGACAACCTGCCTACCACAGGCACTCTCCTGCTTGTACAGGACAGGGAAACCTAGGGGAAAAGGAAGGCTTGTTCATAATTGAGAAGCTGCACTTACGTCAGCCCAGGAGAAGGAGCAAGCAAATAGATAGTTGAGTAGAAGTTGTATATCCGTTCTCAGGCCTTTCCTAAGCACTCCTATCTTTGTAATTGATTTGATGTGGGGTTTGTTCTTTAGCGAGTACAACTGCAATTGCTAATATTACTGTTTGGACTTTTTTCAGCAATACCAGCTCATTGAAAAAATCGAGTCCTCTGAAAAATACACAGTTTTTGTTCCTGCTAATAATTCCATTGAGGAGTACTGCCACGCTGCCAATGTGACACAGTTGGTAAGCTCACTGCTTGCTTGCGGGTTGAATATGTATTGCGGTAAGCGCAGGGACATGTCCGCTGTCAGATCATAAACTTGAGTTCAGTGGATTTGAGCATATCTGATGCTAAAAGCTAGGAGAAACGTGGCAGAGAGAAATGAGAGGGTTTCCTGGGGTGTTGCAGTGGCATCTGAAAAAAATATTTGGACTCCAAATGCAAATTTCTGAGTAGAGCTGAATGTGGCTAGATGGCACAATAGGTTCCCCTTCTTCACTGGTGGTGGCATATCTGTGACAATTTTGAATCTTTTGAAATGTTCCAAAATCATTTATGATCCAGTAACACTCACCAAGTGTGATCAGTCATCTGTGGTAGGGAGTTACTAGGCTCTGTGGGCTTAATTAGCTGTTACAGATTGCTTAGGAACTCTTCTCAAGCCATACCTCTGACTGAATTGTAGTCTAGGAAGTCAAAAGAGTCCTAATATTTGGGGTTTTTGTGTTTTTAGGACAACGAGACAGTGCAGTACCACGTTGTACTGGGAGAGAAGCTCTTGCCCACGGACTTGAGAAGTGGAATCCATAAGAACAGCATGTTAGGGCTCTCCTACTGGCTAATGTTTTATCAAAACAGCACCCAGGTAAGGAGGGAAAATTCTGATGCCATTTGAGGATCTGACAGGACCTATCACTTCCTAAAGCTGGTGGCTGGATACACCCTTACTTACAGTTTGCCTGCCGTGGCTGTCTGACAGCTGTCAAGCAATCCGTGCAATCCAGCCGTTTCCTTCTTCCTTGCAGAAGTTTGTCAATAATATTCCTTTGGATGGAAAATTTCTTGAGACGAGGAATGGCATGTTGATCGGGGTTTCACAGGTCCTCCAGATACAAAAGAATCGCTGCACTGCCAATACCACCACCATACAGAAGGTAATGATGATCTCTAAGGAGCTGACCCCACTTCACAGGGTTTCTTCACCTGCTGAACCAAACTGATGGGTAGCAGACAGCCTGCCTGGATGAGAGAGTAGTTTGTGGTCTGACCCCAGATGAGCCTCATGGGAAATGGGGCATCATGGAGACGTGGCACCTCCAAGCCTCAAGACTGTTCTTCTACTGCAGCAGATCTGCAGCTCTTGTGCAGATCATGTTCAGTTCACTTGCCGGGGCTCTCTCACAGTGCCAGTCGTGGGGCACGCTGGTGCAGGGACTCCCAGATACTCAGCTCTGGAAGGAGAATCCAGCCCAATTCTTGCATGGCATGACCACAAGCTCTCCTAGGAAATGCTGTCTGCTTGGGAGTCATGGCTGAAATTCAGCCTGCATGTATCTCGTGCCTCTTGGCCATCTGAACATTGCAGGGTCAGACCGAGGTATGCCTGCCTTGTTACAGATCAGAAAAACAGGTATTTGCAGCCTCGTGTGAAGGAACTTGGGGCCTACACAAAGCCCTACCCCAGCTCAGAGACTCAGGAAAGGTGTAGCGTGTGATCTCTTGTGGTTTGCTTTGTGGTACAGTCTCTGCAGTGCAGAAATAGGCCTTGTGTACACCTCTGGAGTGCAGGAATAAGACCTTGTGTGAAGCCTTTGGTAGCAGCCAGGACCTGAGGGTCATGCATCATGATTTTTCTTCTTCTGGTGTTTTGAGCCATGGAGATAAATCCATCTTTGTCTTTGTCCCAGCCAGCAGCCTGTACAGCACCATTTGTAATGCAAGATTAGTGTCTTGGTGTAACGTGGGTGGAGGGCACACATGTGACTTGTCCTGTTCTCTGTGCCCTAGTCAAGATGCAGCAAGTGTGAGAAGGGGATCAAGTGTCCTCCTGGGTCGGTTCTTGTGGTGAGTCTTTCATTCATGTGACGTCTCACAGACTGTTTGCACATCGTGCTTTGATGTCCTTTTATTGCTCTATAGATGTCATCTCCGTACCTGGAAAAATGTGCTCTGAGTCCTCTGTGGCTCATTCACGAGCAAGGTTTGTAAGAGAAAGCAGAGGTTTATGCAGGAAATTGAACCCTTGAGCCATGAGGCTCCTCACAGGGCTGTCATCAGTCTTTGCCTGAATTTCAGGAGCTCTTTAGAGCTTGCAGTGTGGGGAGTTTCCCCTCTTAGGGGTGGGAAAACAAGAGATGTCTGTCTTAGTCTTTTATTCTTCTGACATTATCATCAATGAAAGCCAGTTTAGGGGTGCCAATAGCAATTTCCCAGCCCGGACCATTGATTGTTCACACAGATTGGCTGGTTGTGCCTGTAGCTTGTTTGTGAGTGCCAAATTTTTCCAGGGAGGAAAAGCAACCAAACATTTCATCTCCATACTGGCTATGAATTGTGCAGCAGCCACATCTGGCTCTTGGGCTTCATTACTTTCTGCCAAAGTTTCCCAATTAATTTTTCTCAGAATTCATACTGACATGTGGCCATGGATTTGGCAGGTACCCAAATAGACTCTTTGTGGTGACCTCACATCTAGAGGTACCTCATTGGTCTCAGCTCTGGATAGACCAAAGTTTTAGGACTGTTCCTTTAGGATAAAAAGCATTATTCTTCTTTTAAGCAAGAAGACTGCCATATACACCCCAAATGTAGATGTTTGTCTAAATATTGTAATATCTTCTGTCTGTATCTATGTTAATTTTATCTGCAGGAATTGCCAGGAAGCAGGAATCTGGCTCGCTGTGAGTTACGCTCTGGGGATATGGGAATACTTGGCTGCCATTTCACCTGTGCGAAAGTTTCTCTGGTAAGAAAAACATTTGCTTCAGGTTCATTTTGACAAAAGCAAGATGGGTATTAGAAATACAGCTATGGAAATACAGCCTGTGCTGAAGTCCTGGCTGCATTTGTGCCATTGCCTAGCTAAGACGGGGGATTGTCTGGGAGTCGCTCTCCATCTCGGAGATAGAGGGCACTGGAGAAAAAAAAACCTGCACAGCTGTCTGCACTGTGATGCATTGTGGTCTGCTGCTTTGGGGTTTTTCCTGCAGAGGAAGAGAAGGAGTCCAGTGTTTGTAGTCTGGTTTCCTAAGGAAATGAGGCATGAATGATGGTATTTTGCTTGTGCATGTGCCTTCCCAAATAACTGGTAACTAATTGGAGCTGAACCAAGGGGGGGAGCAGAAGGTCTCCCAGCTATTATGGCCCCTCCCAGTTCTGTGAAAATGTGTGGCTGTGAGAAAACACTTGAAGAGGAAATGGTAAAAGAAAGACTTGTGTGGATTTGAGCTCTTACAGGTATTGAAGCATCTCCCTGGAAAGTTTAGTGGGAATGGGAGAAAGAGGAGAAGGGAGAGAGGCAGTTGGACATGTCATACCCACTGGCAGAGCTTCGGTCAGCACTTGCACCCCACCAGGCACTTCTGTGTTCCTTCTTTGGATGATGTTTCTCTTCAGCTGTGCTGTCCAACTTGGTCCCGTTATGGTTGCCACTCTCCATAGGCAGATGCAGAAAGAAATGAGAGCAGTTAAATCAGGCTTCTGAACCAAACCACCTTCTGGCAGAGCCTTTCTCTGCTCAGCAGAGTCTCTCACAGGTGGGACAGGGGCAGGAGATAGGCTGGATGGGCACAGGACTCAACATTTACATTACCAAATAACCAGTGTTGTTCCATTGGCAGTGCAGACCTCTACGTGAGGCTCTGGGCAACCTCAGTCGAGCTGTACCTGCTCTGTGCCGCACAGGACAGCTCACCCCAACCTGTTCTTGTTGGTTCCCCAGAGGTCTGTCTGCTGCCCTGGCTACTACGGACACATGTGCGAGATGTGCCCAGGGAAGCCGGGCCAGTGGTGCTCCGGGAACGGGGAATGCCAGGACGGCATGGAGGGCAGTGGAGAGTGCCGATGCCTGGAGGGTTTCCATGGCACTGCCTGCGAAATGTGTGAAGTGGGCCGATACGGAGCTGACTGCAAATCAGGTGACATCGATGGCTATTGCAGCTTGTGTGTACCGTCCTGCTGACACGGGGGGAAAAGTGGCCACTCAGGAGGGGTGGTGGGAGGGAAGAAATGTCTCAAGACCTTTGAGACAGGCGAACAGCTGGCAAGCTGAGAGAGGGACAGTGGGAGTAAGGGCTTGTGGTCAGCCAGAGGAGTGGCCCCATTTTTCATCCTCAAACCAAGGCAAGACTGACTGCTATGGCACTTACCCTGCTACCACCCAAACTATAGAAAGTAGAGGTGGGTGGTCTGTTCCTGGGCTTTTTGGCCTGGCAGTGAGAGAATGAGCAGATGATCCTGTAACTTTTTTTTATGGCAGCTTGATGCATTGGATTAGGAACAGAGCAGCGTGTGAAAGGGCAGCGAGACTCTGCTTGTGAGACCTGCTTGGTCTGACAGTGATGAGTGTTTATATTTCCTCTGCAGAATGTGCCTGCGACAACGGCATATGTAACGATGGACTGCAAGGGGATGGGAGCTGTGAGTGTTTCCCAGGATGGAAGGGCTCTACCTGCCAAGAAAGTACGTGAGTGTGAAGGGACCTATGGTGTAATAATATTGCCTTTTTGGCAGAGAAATGTTACCTGAACAAGGTGATCACCGTTGCATATTGAGGATCAAAGACTGATTTTGTAGTGAAGTCAAATGTTTTGGGGGCATTTAGAAGTGGAAATGGAGTGGATCTGTCCTGTCTAGTGTAAATGGAAAGCATTAATCTTCAAATGAGGCAAAGCCAAATGGCCCTGTATGTCTGGATTAATGAGGTTTCAGTCCTTGTTTCGTTCCTAGCAATGTGAAGGCCATGCGGGTAGAACGGAATTGAACCGTTAGCTCAGAGAACATCCAATTCACTCCATGGCAAAATGTCAGAAGATAAAATCCTGTGAGGCCTTCCTGCTGCCCTGTAGGACGTGAGAGTTCGCATAACTGCTGGTGTGTCCCATCATCAGTCAGGGCAGTGACTTTACTCTAGATGGCAGAAATGTCCCCAGCAAGTGCTAAATTGAAAATCCCAAGCAACATTTGTGTTTTCTCTTGCAGGAATCGAGATTGACTTGTGCAATAACACTTGCCATCAGATGGCCAAGTAAGTACAGACAAGGGGCTGGGTCGTTCTCAGAAAGCCATGTGTGTTTGTATGTATTTTACGTAGAGTAATTCTGTGTTTAGGGCTTTGCAGAGGGCTGGGAGGAGGTGCCTGCTCATTAAAGGTGCATAAATGTCAGTTCTATCCTGGGAACTCTGGTGCTAAGCCACATCCACTTTCCCCAAGGGTTTTGTGTGTCTGAGATAAATTTTGTCCAAGTTCCTTCTGCATGTGTGGATGGGAGAAAGCAGAGACTCCGAGGTACTCCAAGTCTGGCCTTATTCATGGAGCAAATCAGCCATTTACAAGCCATTTCTGCCTTGGCAGTCCCTCCAAAGAAATAAATAGGTTGATGGTCTGTGATGACTCCTTCTTGCTGCCTTTTACATCCATTATCTGGTCTCTTATTTTGCGATACCAGGACCCAGGCATGTCTGTTGTACTGTGCAGAAGCACGTGGACATGGTAGAGGTGCACTGTGCGAGGTGTGACTCCTGTCCCTGGATGCCAGCTCCCTGGCCATGTGACTGGAGTATTTGGTGCTGTAAACAATACGCAGCAACTTGAGGCATGTTCTCCCTATGGTCATTGTGGTCTCCAGCTTGCACATTCCAGACTTGCATAGTGCTTCCCACTGGCCAAGCAAAGCAGGGGGTATTGTCAGTGATTGTTTATCCCTTTCTTATTTCAGCTGCCTCAATAGTTCTGCAGATTCCCCACCTACATGCTCCTGCTCTGCTGGATACACAGGGAATGGGACCCATTGCACAGGTATGTCCAGCAAGGGCGAGCAAGATTCAAGGCCTGCAAACATCTGCTGAGGCTAACGCAAAGACGGGGGTTGGTTTGTGAAATAAATGGCATGATGTTGCCAGGGGAAAGATCATTCTAATCCTTTCCCTCTCAGCCATCCACCATGAACTCTACCATGCTTTGGTAGAGAGGTTTTCCAGTCCGGAGCTTTACAGGGGATGCTCTTGATGTTGCTAGAGCCTGCAAGAGCGGGGAAAAAAGGCAGGCAAATGTAGCAGAGTAGTTCTTACTGCTCATGGAGAGAGATGCACGTGAATAGGTTGTTTTATTCTGGTATCACAGCAACAGTGGTAAAGATAGAAAAATTTTGGCCTGGAATATGGATGCTTCAATTCCCTAGAATTTTATGCTGCTCCTGCTTTGGCCGTGACAAAATTGGGTAGAGGCAGTGCAGCAGTTGTGCCAAAATGAGGTAGGATCTTGGGATACTGCTCTAGAGCTACAGGTAACGCTGGTCTGTGTCAAAACTAGAAAAAAACAGTCAGGGTGATGAAACTGTTAACAGTCAAATCAAAATACTGGTACAGTTTCTTTTCGGTATTGCCCTTGTTTGAAAATGAGTGAGGGGAAATAAAGCAACAAAAACTTTTATGTTGTGCAGGAAAATATTTTTTTTCTGGTCTAACCATTAGTCCTCTGTGAGCAAATGCTGTGATGGAAAGAGCTCTTAGTCCAGTTTGGTGGTTACTTAAGCTCAGCATGACGTTTTGGACTGGTGTCTCTCAGACCTGGATGAGGCCCCGTGCCATTACAGGACCTATAGTTTCATTGAGAAACAAAGGGATTTTAGTAAGGTCGTGTGATGTTTGACGAGATGGGTGATCATTCTGGCACAGCTCATCTTGCCTAGATGCTCTGAGCTGATTCTGCTTCTCCTGGTTGTGCTCACAGAAATAGATCCCTGCACCATCAATCATGGGGGCTGCTCCATACACGCTGTGTGTACCAAAGTGTCCCCAGGAGAGAGAACCTGTGTCTGTAAGGAAGGCTACGCTGGCGACGGGACGCTCTGCATGGGTGAGTGCTCAGTGCCTGTTGGTGATAGCAGCGAAGCAAAGGGGAATTTCAGACTAAAAGTGTTAAAATTTCAGGTTAAACTGTAGAATAACTTAATTCTTCTTTCACTTAGTTCACACAGCGATTATTTCAGAGCAAGTAATTGCTGGCTGATCTTGATTCAACTGTCTTTCTGCTTTTTGTCGAGGCGTATGCACGCATAGGTGCACAGTTCCTCCCTATTCCTTTGCCGTCACAAGTCACTTCTCCACCAGGATGTTTCCCAGGCTGGGAAGATCCTCCCTGTTGCTTTCCCAATACCTCTTTAGGTCACCAATTCTCAGCTGTCTTGAGCAGTCCTCAGCGATAATGTGGCCTTCTTGTTTTGCTGCAGAAATTGATCTCTGTCTCGAAAGCAACGGGGGCTGCCACGCCAACGCGGAATGCGTTAAAACAGGCCCAAGGAAGGTGAGTGAGATGGGCGACAAGGCAGCTTTGTTCTGGAGGTTGTCACAGCTGTGTAGCGCTCTCAAAGACAATCCTTGCCATGGCAGCGTGCTGCCCTCTGCTTATTACCTTCCACCCAGAAGAGCTGCCTGGAAACGGCATGAAAAGATTGCCATTTCCTTGAAAGTAGATGCTTTCTGTTAGCCAGAGGCTGGCTGCGGTCTCTGTTTTTATTTGTTGGTGACACAAGCACGGTTATTCGTGAAGTGCGCGACAGATGCGGTACCACATGCTTTCCATCCCGCTCAGCCATCGCGCGGTTGTCATTATTGGGTCCAGGTTTCAGAGTGAGCATCTGTTCTCCCTCCAGGTTGCCTGCAATTGTCTTCCCGGTTACACTGGAGATGGCGTGAGCCAGTGCAACCCCATCAACCTGTGTGAACAGGTATGTCTGCACTTTGCTGTTTTGCTTTTTGAGGTGAAGGCCACAGCCCTGAGGCATCCCCTTCTCCCAACAGCTAGCAGCAAGAACAGGGATAGCCTGCTTGTTTAGAACAGGCTGGATGTAGTTAGCTGCTCCCACAGGCAAGTGGCCATTCAAATTGTTGGTGATGCGCCTCCATGCAAGCCTTTCGCTTTTCTTACTAGAACAACGGAGGCTGTAGCCCGTTTGGACTCTGCCGGTACACAGGCCCTGGCACTCGGAACTGCTCCTGCTCTTGGCACAGTGTTGGAGATGGCTTCACCTGCCATGGCAAAGTGTATCAGGTGAGAAGCATGTACAGCATCTTTAGTGTTCAGGCCTCCTGCCCTGCAGCAAACCACTCTCTCCCCTCCAAGTGGAAGCTGCAGGTGAGCAGATCTGTAGTGTCACATTGACATGTGTGTGGTGAGGAGTAGAGACAAGCTATCCATAAATTGTAGGTGCATTTCGGGTGCCAGCTGGGAGAGAGAATCACAGTAAAATGACCGTGCTCCAAAGGGAGCTGCGTCGTGAACACTGCTGCTCTGTTGGCAGCATTCGCCGTACCTCCAGGGAGCTGTTTTCTTAATATGACAAGCAAGTGGGAATATTTATTATTTTTTCCCAAGGCAACCCACTTCTCCCAGTCTCTGGGGTCAGGGCAAGTATCCCCTGTGGCCATGCCTGGACTTGGGATTCAGTCTGGAGGGCAGCAGTCTGTTTCCAGCTCTGTTGCCAATCCAGCATCTGTCCTTGGGCAAACAGGTGACCTTTTCTGGTAGTGGCAAATAAAAGCTGTCACGCCCATAGCAGAGCCAAGAGAAAAGAGATGCACTCAGTACTGAAAGTGTGTGTGGTAAGGAGAGGAGTTTACTCTTCCAAGCCTATGTCTGCCACTCTGGATAGCATCCCAGAACTGGTAGTAGCAGCAAAGTTTTGTGAAGCCCTTGAGGTGTCCCATGAGCACAGGGGCAATTAAACCTGTGAGACAGCTGCTGCAGAAGCAGCCAGCTTTCATCTCTCCATTCCATCTTACAGCACCTGTGATGGGAATGGTCCAGGCAAAGGCCACTGCCTGCTTTTGTAACATCCACGTGCTGGCAAGGGAGGGAGGGAAAGATCACTATGGTGTGCCAGGAGAACCGGTGTCTCACTGGGCTGGGCGAGTGACCTGGAGTGGAAGGAGCAGGTCACCGTGCTGGCTGACCAGGGGCAAGTGGAAGGGACTCTGCTAACACCGTCTGTTTCTCTTTGTTTAAGGAGCTCGGAAGGATCGAAGACGCATCCATGTTCTTTAAGATGATACTGGTTGGTGACAAACAGCTTTGTTATTGTCTCTGTGTAGTAAATCCCACTTCAGGTTTTCACGAAGGGTCTTGTTAAATGGAACTGTGTTTTCTGTTTCCTTTCCCACAAATGCCCTTCTACCACAGGCAGAAGGCATCAAGGAGCTCAGTGGGGCAGGGCCTTTCACTGTCTTCGTCCCGCGGACTGATTTTATGGGAAACACAACGGTAAGTGTGCCCCCATCCCAGGTGGATCGGATGTTTGGCAAGGTCCAGTCGTGGCCGTGGCCCCTCTGGGGCTGTTCTGTCCAGTGAACTGAAGCAAAGGGACTGAGCAGAGGGTTAAAGGCATCCCCCATTCTCCATCAGTGTAAGAGCAGAGGTTTGGATGCCAGCTCACTGCAGAGACCACCTGGGCAGGGGTGGGCATGGCTCCAGTTGTAAGGAGACCCTTACTGGGCCCCTGCTTCATGGACCTCAGAGGCACTGTGCCAAATGAGTGATGTGTGGTGACTTCTGTTACCTGTGACTGTTAGGGATTGGAATCAGCCAGGCTTCATGGCATCTGTGAGGACAACCTCTTCCTCCTGCTCTGTGCCTCAGGCCCTGACATTCTGCTTCCATTGCTTCCTCCCTTCTAGTCCCTGTAAGTGGGATGTCTGGGGCAAGTGGAGACATGAGGTCGGAGGGGTCCTTATTCGTGACCCTGTGAACCAGACAGGTTCTTGGCCAACAGCTTTCAGGTGTTGGTGTAATGGAAGAACCTAATACCATGACTCCCAAGTCCTGTTGTGCAGCTTCACATCGCTAATCTCAGCCTTCTTCCCATGGGCTCCCCCATCTACCCAGTAAATGAACAATTCCCAACAACCACATACCCCAGGCTTCACTTCCTCAAGGCCAGTATCAAGGGACCTGAATGATGGTTTTACCAAGCTGGTTGAAATTTCCCAAAGCTCTCAAATGGTTTTGTGCTTACACTGCATTTTGGGGGGACTGACTTTCCTGCACTAATAGGTTGGAGGGGGTTTGGGCAATCCAGGACTCCCTCATCGCATCTGTGGGCCGCCCCCAAGGCAAAGTGCCCCAGTGTGATCTCATTCTTGTTTTCTCTCTGCAGTTTGAGGAGTGGAGGAGCAGAGGTCTCCTCCGGGACCTGCTTCGCTACCACATGGTGGGTTGTCGGAAATTGCTGTCCAGTGACCTGGAAACCCAGGAGTCCCTTACATCTTTATCTGGCCACAAAATAAAGATCACAGCAAAAGAGGTAGTTCTCTGCTACAGTTCCCTTGTCAGGATGTCGCTTTTGCTGTCATTCAAAGGCCGATGTTGCTGTGGCCTAGGGCTCAAAGATGGCTTATAGAGCAGTGCTGTGGGTGGGAATACCTCACTGCACCCCTTCTGTCTCAGAATAGCATCTATCTCAATGAGGAAGCCAAAGTGGTCGTGAGTGACATCATCGGCGTGAACGGTGTCATTCATATCATCGACAAGATCCTCGTTCCAAGTGACCTGGTGGACCGTAACGTTTCATCAAAGATCTCACAGGTAAGGCTGAAGCAGCAACTATGCCCTGACAACTGCCGTGGTGAGGATTAGGGCTGGGATCCTTCTCCCAACAGCTCTGAGAGTGCTGTCCCTGATAGGCCCTCCAGCCGCACCCTCAGCCCAAGGCTGCGTGAGGTGCTTTTCCTCCCCATTCCTAGCAGTGTAGGGCATGGCTGAGGGCACAGATTTGGCTTGTGAAGGTGGCAGCATTTGTGGTGTCGCAGTATGTGACCTGGTGGACCGTAACGTTTCATCAAAGATCTCACAGGTAAGGCTGAAGCAGCAACTATGCCCTGACAACTTGAAGGTGGCAGCATTTGTGGTGTCGCAGTATGTGGGACCAGAGCTGTGATTCATCACTAGGGAACAGCAGTACTGGGTGTAGGCAGGACTCCTTTTCCAGAGCAGATTGCAGTATGAGATTACCAGTGCCTCTCTGCACTAGGAACATGAGGAGCCTATAGCTCCTGCATTTTACAGTAAATAACACATTTTCTGTACAGCACAACAGAGTGCTGAAATTCATCCCAGCTCCTGCTATAGCAGCATCTACCCAGGATGAATCAGGAAAGTGTTGGCTGCTGAATAGCAGGCGAGTGTCATTGGCATGATGATGACGGAAACTTGTGTTTAGCTACTGTAGCTGTTAACTGGTTTGTCCCTGCATTGCTGCTCCAGGTCCCGGAGGGAGACCTCTTAGCGATGGTTGTTTGCTTTCTTCCCTCTGCAGCAGAGTATCACGGAAGTGGCAGAGGCCTTTGGGTACACCATTTACAGCAAGCTGCTGCAGGTGAGTGTCCAAACTCAGGCTGCTGGTGGGAGGGGGGGTGTACGTGTGCACGGTCACTTTTGGCTCGTGGCTTTGCCTTTGTATCCCCTGTTATCTCGCACAGGATGCGGGGCTGCTGCCACTGATAAGCGACCCCCTGCATAGACCCTTCACCATGCTGTGGCCCACGGATGCTGCGTTTAACGCCCTCTCGGAGAAGAGGCAGAAGTGGCTGTACCACAGAGAGCACCGGGACGTGCTGGCCTCCTACCTCAAAGCACACATGATCAGGGACACAAAGGTAAATGTGACAACAGGCTTCCCCCTCCTGAGGCCACGTGCGGTGCCATCGCCTGCCTGTGCTACACCAGCGCGACCCTGCCCAGGGTTTTGCTGCTGTAGAACACGCAGCATGTGAGTCGTCTTGGGAAGACCCAAAGCTGCTGGAGGCCACGTCACCCCAGGGCGTCAACGCCAGGCTCACGAACAGGCCCTTGTCTGTAGGGGTGATGAACGAGGGGAGAGTCCAGCTGCCTCAAAACAGGGTCTGCTTCTGCACGCTGGCCTCTCACCGCTCAGGAATCTGGGACTAACCTGGCATAGTTATGCTGTTCCACACACACCGGCTTCACACGCTGCCATGTCACTGCCCCTCCCAGCGCGGCTGCTGAGCCTGTCCTCACCAGGCAGCACCCCGTTGGAAGTACAAACTGACAGTTTTTCCTGTATCTCCCTTCATATTCTCCTTCTTCCCTCTTAGATCGTTGCAGGTAACGTGCCCCAGGTCGATTCCGTCCGGACCATGCACGGCTCCACCGTCTCGTTCAGCTGCAGCAAAACCCACGTGGTGAGTGATGGGTTCTGCTTTCCACTGAGCGAGTGACCCTGGGCCTAGCCACGGGGCAGCTGGTGCTCCTTGTTGGGCACCGGGAGGAAGGGAACACCGAGTTGAGGAGCCTGCACACCCCATTCCTCTGGCTACAGCTGAGAGAGGCTGGAGGAGACCCCGTGACCAGCTGGCAGGAAGGTGCCGAGGCGTGTGGTACCTGCAGGGTCGCCAGGTTGTGACGCCAGCCACATGGTGCCATCACCTGTACAGAGGAAGTGTTGCACGGACAGAGGCCATTTCTTAGGAGAACTGGCCATGAAAAGTGGCAGTCGGGAAGGGTGGTCAAGGACACGGGGAGCTTGAGAAGTGCGACAGCCAAAAAGGACAGCCTTTGGGTGGTGCAGCCAGGGTGTAGGATGTGCCAGGGTCACACGTTGCTTTCTTCCTCTGGTAGGGGGAGCTTCTGGTGGGGAACGGCGATGCCACCATCATCCAGAGGCACATGGAATTCAATGGAGGCATTGCTCATGGCATCGACAGGCTGTTGGAGCCACCGGATCTGGGATCTCGGTGTGACGAGTTCATCTTTGTTGAGCTGCAGGTAAGTGTTTGAGATGAGGCCAGTGAGGATCTGTGCTGTGTGTAGAGCCTCCCTGCCTGGGCAGAGGGATGTTGGGAGGGCTTGCTGATCTTCCTCGGCAAAGCTCCGAGCAGCCGTGAGAGGCAGAAGCTCACGTTGAGTTGTTGCGAGATGTCTCTCTCCCCTCCACAGGGATCTACAGAGAGCTGCGGACTCTGTGGCTTCGAGCCACCCTGCCCTGCTGGCTCCGTGCAACGGGTAATGCTCACAGCTTTGTCACCAGGGAGGCCTGTTAGGGGGCTGATGACAATACCCACCCCCCACCCCCCATGTTTTAGCAGCAAAAGGAAGGCACGCCTGCGTGTGGCGAGTCACTCGGCTCGCTCACATCATCTGTGCCTTGCCCCAGGCCACGTGGTCCTACAGGGCAGGGGCTGGGCTGAGCAGCGGGGTCAGGGCCTCCACTGGTCTTTGCTTGGCCAACCCCTGTGTGGGTGACAGCGGCTGTGGGGTCCCCGGGGGCTTTATGGCGAAAGAGCTCACCCGGGCTGCGAGACAGACCGGGGATCAGATGGTGAGCAGCCGGGGGGGGCAGTGGTTGTACCCCACGCTCACTGCATTGCCCCTTTTCTCTCTCTGCCGGGCTTCTGGCATGTCCCTGAGGTCCAAGAGCGACTCCTCTGTCACCAGCCCCATCGCACGTTAGGAAGCCTCTGTTACTTGTCATAAAACTGAATGAGTGGCACAAGAAGAGTCAAGGTGAGATGTCAGTGACCAATGTGGCAAACTCTGTGTTTTGCCTGTTTCCTAGCAGGGGGGAACCAGGCGCTGCTACTATTACGGAAACCAGCTGTTGAGAAACACTTTTCTGTTTCACCGCAACTCCCTGTTGCGGCCGTCCTGGCCACCCTCCCCGTGGGACCCTTTCAGGAGACACTTCTCTTCCAGGGGGCCTCTGAAACGAGGCTGCAGGAGGAGCTGCATTTCCACCCAGTGGGTCCCTCAGTGCTGTGCGAACCACTATGGCCGAGACTGTCAGGGTAAGGAGCTGTGCAATCCGTCCCCGCCCCGGCCCTTTCTCTCATGGGAAGGTGACATTCCTGGTTCAGCACAGATGTCTGCTGTCCACCAGTGCGCTTCTCCAAGGATGGGTGGGCAGCCCCAGGCAGGGAGCCTCATAGAGGATGCAGGGAACAATCCCCTGGGAGTGTCTGTGGATGGTATAATGACAAATTCCCTTTCCTTGGAGAAACCTGTGTCCCCGCAGAGAGCCCTGGGCACAGGGCTGCCGGGGGTGGCTGTCACACGTCACTCACCCCTAGACGTTGCCGATGCTCAACCGTTCCCCGGCACCTGCTCTCTGCACTTTGTGCATGAGCAGCTTTCACGTCCCAGGGTTAGCCGCACAGTCTCGGCACGTGGAGGGTCATCCCACTTTGCTATGCCAAATTTTGCCCCCATTCCTAAGGTTTATTGTCATGGGATGTCCCCAGCAGTCATTCCCAGAACTGCTGAGCAGGCTCGGCAGTCCAAGCGCCCCATCAGCAGCGGCTCACGTGGCTCCAGCTCCCCTCCAGCACAGGGTCACTTTGTCACCGCAGCCTCACTAAGGTGCCCCATTTGCAGCGTGCCCGGGAGGGCTGGAGGCGCCGTGCGGTAACCGCGGGACCTGCGACGACAAAATCAGCGGCTCGGGGAGGTGCAACTGCAGCCAGGCTTTCATCGGGACCAGCTGCGAGCTGTGCGCGCCGGGCAGGTTCGGGCCGGACTGCCGAGGTAGGGGCTGCGGCCCGTGGGGTGGCAGCGCTGCAGGGGGGGTGTGCGGAGGTGGCTG